CGAAAATCCTGTCGATTTTGCAATCGGGCAATCATCTCATCCGCACTGTGATATTCAAGGCTGTTCCAATATTGCAGTAGTCAGATGCTGACGGTGCAAAAAATCACTTTGTTTGCTGCATTTTTTTGAAGAATATCATTTTTGTACGCATTACGTCCCCTAATACTATCTATACTGTAGATTGATCCCAACAGAAAGTATGGTGATTGAGAACCTAATACTAGAAGGAATAAATGGTCTGAACTTCTATAATGATATCAATGTATATTCTGAATTCCATCATTTGGGGATTACTACCATCATAGTTTCCTTTCCATAGCGGATCTTTATTCAATCCTTACCGTTTAGTTCGGACTATGGTACTGTGATACAAGTAGACAGATAATTAAAAGGTTGTAATTCATATATAACTAGCAATGGACATTTTCATGGGTTCAAATTTCGATATTTCTTGTTATTCTTTACTCTTCCAAATGAATTCTGTTCACTAATATAATTAAAAGTAACTCCCAGAAAGGTTATTTAGCCTCCAAGTGTTACTTCCAGAGACTCATCACTCATCTTTTTTATGTACCAAAAAATCGAAGACTTGTATATGGGGTATTCCATGTGAACTCACCCAGGTCAAAACCCTCACCATCGCCAATCATATTGCCGATTTTTCCTGTGCTTGTATATGGAAAAAGATAACTTCTCAAATTTTTTCAGATTTTTTGGGGCATCCTGTGGACAGCCATGTTTTTTTGCAAGTTTTATCTTCAAATGGCTGTAACTTCCGTAAAAATCGACCGATTTCATTTTTTTTTACAAAATGTGCGTCTTCGAACACACTTTCCATATAAAAATATGCCAATTTTTTTCAATTCGTTCTTCCATCGATTTCCTCAGAAAAACCACAAAAAACTTCAAAAAACGAGTCGTTTTCAAAGTTGGACCCTTTTTATATTTTTCAAAAAATTTTAGTGAATATATTGGACCAAAACAAAATTTTTCACCAAAGGCCAAAGTGGACTTCCCATTTCGTGGCCGTCATTTCAAATTTGAATATATGAATCCGGGATGAAAAATTTCAAAAATTTCAAAATTCTTTTCGCATTTGAACGCAGAAGCATTATTTGAATTTACCGCCTGAAGAATCACTGCATTATATTTGAATCTGGAACAATTTGAGGATTTTTTGAAAATTCGTTGACAATAAATCTTTTCGAGTTGTGTGTTCTAATAGAGACCCCCCTTTGGTTTTTGGTGAAAAATTTTATTTTGGTCCAATATATTCACTGAAATTTTTTGAAAAATATAAAAAGCGTCCAACTTTGAAAACGACTCGTTTTTTGAAGTTTTTTGAGGTTTATCTGAGGAAATCGATGGAAGAATGAATTGAAAATAATTGGCATATTTTTATGCGCAAAGTGTATTCGAAGGCGNGGATTTTTTGAAAATTCGTTGACAATAAATCTTTTCGAGTTGTGTGTTCTAATAGAGACCCCCCTTTGGTTTTTGGTGAAAAATTTTATTTTGGTCCAATATATTCACTGAAATTTTTTGAAAAATATAAAAAGCGTCCAACTTTGAAAACGACTCGTTTTTTGAAGTTTTTTGAGGTTTATCTGAGGAAATCGATGGAAGAATGAATTGAAAATAATTGGCATATTTTTATGCGCAAAGTGTATTCGAAGGCGCACATTTTGTAAAAAAAAAATTCAAATCGGTCATTTTTTACGGAAGTTACAGGCATTTGAAGATAAAACTTGCAAAAAAACATGGCTGCCCACAGGATGCCTCAAAAAATC